GTAATAGTTACTATATGTTAGTCCAAACACTACTGATGGGTACATGACTCACTGGGAAAAGTAATGACTGGTTGGCATAGTGTCATAGCGTAGATATATAGAATTGGACTAGACTGGTAGAGGTTACTGAGGGCGGTGCGAACTTGACAGTAGACGATTTGGTGCGAGAGTATTGTGCGCGTGTTTAATAAAATATTTGTGGCGTGAGCATGACGCGACAATGTACTGATGACGTAAGACGCAGCAGTGAAGTTAATTGGGGGTTAGCTATAGAAAAGGACGTACGTATTCTTTGATATTGTGCAAATGATCTATAAGTGTGTGTTAATATAGTTCACGTTATTTCATAAACAAAGTTTTTGATACTGTTAATTAATGTCTGCGGAACATAAGAGTGATTCCCGTCCTCCTCACAAGCTGACGTATGAATAGTAGTAGAATATGGAGGAATATTCATAACCCCCCCCCCCCCCCCATCATACATGTGCTGACCATATCATCCTTCATATGCCGAGATCAGAAACCTTTGAGCTCTACTTCATCTTCTTTGGTCTGAATGGGGAGCTTCAGTTCACTTCATATTATTTAATTAATTAAGAATTATTAAATGTAATTATATATAATATTTGTTGTAAAAAAAAGTGGGATCAAGCGTAACCTTGACTTAAAACATTACGTCCTAACTTAATCAAAATTTCCTAAACTCGAGCATGCAAATTGACAGTAGATATTATAGTCTGTCCTTCAGTAAAATGACATTGACGCGAAAAATCTAGTAATGATATTTCTATTGTGTAATTAATATAACGTAGAAAATGTCAAATGGAAATATGTAAGCTTACAATGGTAATGTGAAGTATGCAAACACTAGATTTATTAACTTTACTGTAATTTACAATTGTACTTTGATAGAAAGCGGTCTATACATTTTTGTTCTTAAAATATTTATGTTAATGTCTTTTTTTTAATTAATATGTTTTAAATATTATTTATATCAAATGTGTTTTTACTATAATATTAAGATTTCATTTAATATTTTAAAAATATTATTTATAACAAATGTGTTTTTAAGTTGGCTATGGCTAAGGTAATTAAAGACAGATTTCCAAAAAAAAATTCTAGGTAACGTTTCATTATTCTTTTTTTAAATATCTATATATATAATTCTCTTCTGGGATCAGTTAGAAAACAAGCTGCAAGCGCCTCCTTGCAGTCCCCTCTCTTTCTCTCTATCACTATCACCCCCCCCCCCCCCACCCAACCCCAACATTGTCTGGTGAGCGGTGTTCACTCTAAATTTTTACGAAGCTAAATGTTTACAAATCGAAGAGCCGTACAGCCGGGTTTCTATTAGGGGCAGATAATTTAGTTCGATTTTAAACTTACAGGAGGTAACTAAGAAATAACTAAGAGAAGGCTGCTTTCACGGGGGGGGGGGGGGGTGTAGGGTCGGGTGTAGGGTCGGGGTTAGGGGAAAGTGGGGGGGGGGTCTAGGTTTTTAAAGCAAATATTTTCAGTGGCAGCATTGGTACTGTCGAATTTACAAATTATGAATTACTGAAAAGTAGAAAATAAAACAACTAAATAGCGGCGTATGATACGCTGCGGGTCGGCTCGTTTATTTTAATTTGTAAAACAAATTAATAACATTCTACGTACATTTTTATTTTAAATACCAGGATTGTATGAAAATTACGTTTTTTGTTAGGAACATTTAGTTGCAAGGAATTTGCATGCATATAATTACATAAGCATGCATTTTGTTTAATATGTTCAGAGACACACATCAGAGTTTGAACATTTATTTAACGATGGATTACAAAATTGATTAAGAGAAAAACTAAATTTACAACAGACATAACCAAAATGTATATATATATATATATATATATATATATATAAATTTAAATTAATATATATATATATATATATATATATATATATATATATATATATATATATATATATATATATATATATATATATATATATATATATATATATACATATAAAATTAAAATGTGTATCTGAATGTACTGATTTGAGTGTGTTTTTATTAATGCATACACAATACCAATTTTCTGTACGTTCTTGCAAATTTAGGGCTTATTATAACGTAAATAATAAAGTTAATAGAAGCGTTTAATTGGTAGATTAAGTAAGCAAAAAATCGGATAAACAAGGAGCAGTTTCTGGAAAAAAGAGGTTGAATTTCAGAAGTGTAATTGTAAAAGTTAGTTGGGAATAAAACTAATATTATAACGAGTAAACAAATAGTGAGAGTTATTTTTACGGATCTGATGTCTTTGACTCTTTTAGACAAAGCGTCAGATGAAGACATATTCATTATTTTTGTGTGTGAAATTGTAAGTTTTACTGTTATCATGATAGAACATATTATTATAGTTACTGTGGGAACAATTATAGCTATAATAGCAATAAAATATTGGTTGTAAATTGAAAAGCCTTTGCTCATAACGAACTCGGTAGGATAATAAAATGCCCCAGTGCTGTTAGTCATTGTAGTAAATGACCACGTTACATAGTTCATAAACGCTCGTGGAATATAAATATTTCCGTCAGACAGATAAATGGCTATAACACAACACTTTATCCTGTAAGGATTGAGAACCGATGAGGTTACGAATGGAAAACAAACAGCAATCATCCTTTCTATAGCGATTAGTGTCACCATATGGATACTCAAGCACACAGCAAATTGATTCCAGCCTAGTAGATAAACTATGTAGTAAGCACTAAGGTTTAGTGCAGCTTCTATATTAAAGTACGAAGTAATTGTTGGCACAAGGCTCCATATGTTAACCAAGGAGTAGATCATGTCAGACACAGCCAACCCGGTCAAAATAATGTTCGTTGAATTGTTTAAACCGTTGTAAGTCAGAATAACTATTGTAACGATGTTTCCAAATACTCCAAAAACAGCCAAACAGGGACTCAATATACAGTTTATGATCAAGTTTTCGACAAGAATTACATCGTATGGTAAATCACAGGCTGGTGAAATAATTTCTTTTGCCAAACTTTCATTATTAACCATATTGATGTTAACGTCTCAATCATAAAATAATCCATAAGATGCTGAACATATTTTAAAAATAATGTAAAAATATATAATATGTTTACACACACACACACACACACACACATATATATATATATATATATATATATATATATATATATATATATATATATATATATATATATATATATATATATATATATATATATATATTGGTGTATTGAAAAATGCTGAGCTGTTATATAGTAAGATTTAAAATAAGTTAAGGTTTAAAATACCATTTTGTGACCCAACTAATAAAAAATAAAATTAATTTTTCCCTATCTACGAAAAGTTATATATCCACTATCATATTGTATTTGGCATCACTGGAAAGCTGGATTTCTTATGTATTTGATAATCTTAATTTGTATAATGTAGAAAATATAAACGTGTATCTAATATTTATTTAACGTATCCATCTGTCAGTACTTTTTTTTCTCACGCGTCTGGAAAATAGACCTACGTATATAAGAAAGAAATGTAAAAAAGAGTGTTTAATATCATTTTAATAATGTAGGTAAAAGAGATATTGCAACTACGTATACAAAGAAGAAATCAATTGCATTACAATAATTGTATACAATTTTGGGAATTAAAGATAAGGAAATATTTTCTTTCGTATAATTGTCTCCTTGTAAAAAAGATACCTTGGTTTTTGTCTTGTGTTCAATATTGTTGGACAACTATAATAAAAACAGAAGGCTGTCACCACACAAACACAGCAATTGAGATAATTTATATTCCTTGTTTTTGTCTATAATTTTGTGTCGTTTGTTTAATTGAAAGATTCTATTGTTGAAAGTAGCTGCTGCATTACACATAATAGCACACATTTGAAGTTCTGATTCTTTTAAAGTCGTGTCATTAATAACATAATCATATTCAAACTGACATTTATGTCTCTGTCTTTTCTTGGGGTCAAATTTCGCTTATGTTTCCATTTTCATCCGCATTCTCGGCAGCATCAAGTAAAACGTGTTCAAAACCATCATCATACATTTTAAGAGCTAATTCTTAGTTGTAAATTGTTTTAGCTCAATTAATAGCAGAATGTTTGTAATGGATAAAATACATAATTCTCAGTCAGTTTTATTTTTTTTTAACCTAAATTTACATTGGAATGTTTGCAATGTACAAAATGCATTGCGTTATGTATATATTTTGGCAATATTAACCTATGTATGGTTTATTTTCTGTATGCCTTTTCTATGAAATTATACCACATCATCCCACATTACGCATACTTTTTGCAAACACACCCAACACACAACATCACAAATGCATACTCACCCATGAAATCGTAGAAACGTTAGTGTGTAAATAGACAATTTTTCGGTAAAAAAAATTGATTCTAGGTTATGTTTTTATTTGCAAAAGAAAACAAAACAAGGTACGGTATAATGTTATTAACTCCAATAACTGAAACTGTAAATCTGTATTGTGCTTAATTTACACTAAATAACAATTAAATATTTGGTGCATTTTTCCTTTATTAGTGTTTAGAGCTGTTTTTGAAACAATTGGTGACTTGACTACAAATGCACTTTTCTATTATAAATGTATACTTTTATTTGAAAAAACTATTTAATAAATGAATAGATTTCACTTACTGCTCTAAAACTAAACATTACTGAGATGAAATTACGACACTTTCATTTAAACAAAACATAAAAAATTGAAAATATTATAAATAAATAATGTAAGATTAATTAATAAAAAGCCATCCCAAAAATTAATAAATTCAAATTATATTATGTGTTAATTTAATTGCATTTATAGTATTTTTGTTATTTTAATCAGTAGAATAAATGTTAATACAATATTTTGAAGTTTTTTCATGTTCCATTCGATGAACAATTTGTATTAAAATATGATTTTTTAATATAACTATATTTTTTTTAAATTTGGGGTTTCAATTACTTTTAAAAAAGCAAGAAGTTTCAAAAGAGTATTTTACTAAAAATTACGTATACATGGCTATGGATATTTTATACGAGTTGTCGTCATAACAACGAGAAAACAAAAGTATCAATGTTTACATCTTTTATTTTATTTCAAAGTAAGCATATTATGGTATTTGTGTTACAGTGTATGTGTGTCTATATGTTTAATTGTCCGCAACTGTGTAAGAAAAAGATAGAAAAAAAGAGATAGAGAGAGAAAAAAAGATTAAATAAAGCTTCCTAATATGTAAAATCCTATTTTAAAATAGTAAAAAATGATAAAATTTCTAAAATGTATAAAATAAAATGTATCTGAAGCATACGCTTTCATGACATCCTAATAAAAGTTACATTGACAGGTCCTGTGAATTCCAAACGGTCATAACAGTTGATATAAGTGGAGACTGTCTTTTCGTAATCGCCGTTTATTTTATACTGAAAGAAATATTTAAAATAAGCAATTAAATTCATATATATATATATATATATATATATATATATATATATATATATATATATATATATATATATATATAATTTCTGAAAAAGAGACAATACTTCCCTACGCGCTCAACAGACGACGAGCTATACAGTTAAACTGGTTAAGGCATATAATCATCAGTTGTGTTTTATGGACCAATAACAAATACAAATTACACATTCTTGAGAGTTAGAGTACTGAAATTTGTAAACGAGTAAATATGCTGAGCCTTTGTCTGTCACTTACAATTTAGGTCGAGTTTGATTGACATGTTACTTGAGAACTCTCCCATCATTGTACAAGAAAGTAAACCACTATACCATTTAGGCCTAAAAAAATTATCTTCTCCTATAGATGTAGCATAATAGTTTTCTCAATCAACTGAACAGTGACGAATGTTCGAAACAGATAGAAAAGTGGTGGGGGATAGGGAGAACGTAATAGAAAAGAGGTCGAAAAAAAATTCTAAAACGACGTTGGCTAAAGCGGTGGAGTGTTTACACAGCGTAGCTATTTTTTTTTATTTAAAAAATTAATCTTACTTATGATGAAATGTTTTATGTCGACTTAAGGTTTAAGTGCAGGTGCAGTTGTAGGTGTAGGTGTAGGGGTTGGTGTAGATATAAGTGTGGTTGTAAATTTAGGAATTAGTTAAAATAAAGGTGTAATTGTTGTGAGTGTAAGAGTAAGGGTCGATGTATAGATTTGTATAAATGTATTTTTTGGTTTACAATTTTCAATTAACATGAAATGCTGGACAATAAAAAAAATAGATTAAAATTTAATGAAGCAGTCTACTAATATATGTATTATATAAATACTAATAATATAATACTAATATATATATATATATATATATATATATATATATATATATATATATATATATATATATATATATATATATATATATGTCAACATATTATATATTTTTTCATTATTTTTTAATATGTTCAGCATCTTATGGATTATTTTATGATTGAGACGTTAACATCAATATGACTAATAATGAAAGTTTGGCAAAATAAATTATTTTATCAGCCTGTGATTTACCATACGATGTAATTATTGTCAAAAACTTGATCATAAACTGTATATTAAGTCCTTGTTTTGCTGTTTTTGGAGTATTTGGAAACATCGTTACAATAGTAATTCTGACTTACAACGGTTTGAACTACAACAATTATATTATAATGGAATACAACCTGCAAATTTCATACTAAATATTTTTTACGTGTGTTATAAATACCACTATACGAATACAACCTACGCACTTTACACTACGTTTAATTAATCAAAAGTTGATTTGCACTTTATGAATTTTTAATATATAAAGTTGTTAACAAAATCCACGCAAATATACATTTGTAAAAATTTTTCCTTGACTTATTTCCTACTATCGCATTTGAAGACATTGAAAGAAAATAGTCAATAAATTATTATCGGTCTATAAACGTTTAAAAAAACCCTAATTTTAGGGAATTTCTGAGCATTAAAACAAGTGTTTTTAATGGACCCACAATTTGAAAATTCATAAAAAATTATCTAGAAGTTATGCACTTAAAATTTTTCGCTGAGTACCCCAAAATATGGAAGAAGATTATGAATTCGTTGTTTATTGGGCTTAAAATATAATATTTTATGAATGGTGGGAAAACCTACAAAGGGATTTTTTTTCAAGATGGCCGCCGTTGTCTTAGTTACAGAGATTTCTCCACCAATTTTTTTATTAGTATAAATGCATATGCGGATGTATCTTAGTAAAGCTGTAAAAATATAACTGTTTTCTAACGAGTATTCAAAAAGTTTTTTTCTTTTACCAGAGCCTCATTAATATACCTATCAATATATTTTAAAATGTTAAATTTAAAAAATGCGTCGACTGCTGTGCGACATGCAATTTTGTTGTATTTATTTACAAACCCACCGCACAGTGTCTGATCACGTAATAACCCAATTAAATAGTTTCTGCCTTCGACATATTTCAATACGGACAATAGGGAACATGTTCTAACCTCCCAACCCGCCCTACATACACTCGTGAGAGTATTTCACAACAGATTCAAATTTATTTGGGGGAAGGGAATTTAATTGAGCTAACGAAATTTCATTGAGCGAATGAAATTAAATTGTGTTAAAGAAATTATGTTATTAGTTATTATCATTATTAAAAAGCTGAATCTAGAAGACTTAGGGGCATCACTTAATCTTGCTCGCTTTGGATACCCACCAAGTTTATTAATCAATTACATACAGTTACATTCTAATCAACCCCATCCACCCCATTCTTCAGCTGAATAATGAAGGTGAGGTCTTTACATAGACTAGACGCCCTTTCCTGATTTTTTTTTTTTGACATCTGAAATATTGAAAGCTTTGTGCTGAGGTCGATCCTCGCGTAGTAATTTGAGTGGGGCTGGGGGGGGGGGGGTGGGAGGGGTATGCTGATGGATTTTGACTTGAACAATTCAATAAACTCTTTAAGCCCGTAATTATTTTCACGTTTTAACGGAATTATTTTTTTTTCACTCCTTTTTTTTTAAGTACCCCGTGTGGCTAAATGACCCATATCTCTTTACCCGTTGATTCAAACATCACACATAATGATAAAAGTTAATTGCATTTGAAAGACCTACACACTAATATAAAATTTAAGTAATTATTAATTGATTGAAGAAAGATAATTACTTAGTCATAAAGGAGAAAAACTAAATAGTTGATTTTTTTCGGGCTAAAATTACGCTTCTGTCGGGAAAATTAATATTAAGAATTCGTTTTCATAAGATCTTATTCATAGAAAAAAAAAGTACATCCATTTTTCTATAAAAAAGCATGGATTGGATTAGTTTAAGTATACATATTTTAGTTTTAGTTAATTTTACAATGCGGCAACGTAAACGTTTAGATGCGGCATTCCGTAGTGTTAAAAAAGCCGTTTTGAGAGTTGTTTTACAAAAAATTTTTTATAAAAGAGAAAATCAACGTAACGAGAAAACTACAAGAAGTAAATAGCCGCTCTAGCGTTATCATGACCTAGATTTACAATTAAAAACTTGGATTCTGAAAAACAACAAATTTAATCCAGAAAATTTGATCGAACGCTGGGAGCGTAGTTACGGTATTAAAGAGTGAATATTAAAATATAAATCCTAGAGATTTTATGTACTCAGTGTAGGAGTGGGGGAGGAAGGTAGGAGCAGAACGGTTCGAACAAAATTCAAACCGCTAACAGTTAAAAGTATAACAAATCTAAATGCTTCATGACTCCCTGGCTCCACTCCCTCCCACCCCCCTTCACCACCTCACTCAACCATATTCTTTTTTACAAGGAAGGGTCAATAGTTTAGCAGAGGACAAACTTTCATCTTCTAAATAGTAGTTAGCAGTGAGTGTATTTAAAGGTGGGGAAGTGGTGGAATAAGGATATGAGTCGATCATAAAGCTAATGCGTTTAATGAGGGGTGGAGGGTTCTATCGACGCCTTGAAATTTCTTTAAGCCGATACGGTTTCAGCGTTACATTTTTGTTTAGATAAAACATTTCCATATTATATCAACTTGTTTTGTATTTAAAAGAGATTCTGCTGATCGTGACATCGATAAAAATGCATGATATACCTTAATTTTTTGGTAGCATCTCACTATCTAGATCTATAGCAAATATTTATTAGAATTGTATATACCTGTTGAGGACGGCTTACTTTTTTAAAAATCAGTTTAACCCACTAAGGCTATCAAGGAATTACAATGCTTGCACGGCAAAGGCAAATAATCTCCAGCGGAACCCGCTAGTATTAAACAAAGCGTTTGTGAGGAGGTGGGAGTCGGGGTAGGTGGGCATGAAACTAAAAGTAATATCTTTACTCGGGTTCGTGACGTTATTATCCGTTCACCACATCACTCGCTAATAAAAGAGGTAAAATTATTAGTAGAACTATTATGACACTTCTTTTTTTCTGTTTTGCATGTTAAGGTCTATATTCCAGATTTGTAACAATTATTTATATTATCTAAAAAAATAGCGTAACACAATTTTTTTTCTGACCCCCTGGTTGGCCCGTTTTTTATTGAATACCTTATCGAGATCAATGTATTGTATAGGCCTACTCAAATCAGGAGAACTTTTGTGCGTATCCTATTGAAAATTGATAACAGTGTCGGAACCTAATACAATAGCAAATAACCATATTGTTAAGGCTATAGTCTTAAATAGCTTTATGGTGCGTTAAACGTTTGAATGGGCAACATTATTTCTCATGGAAGCCGCCATGATTGTTGAACTTTAAAAATTAAAGTTGTGTTTCTATTTTAGATGCTCTCATCTAACGTAACAGACAAGTAAACAAAAAAAGCAAAAAAAAAAATAAACAACATACAAACCTATCGCTTTTAGTGATATAATAGACTCATCGTTATCCTTGGATAACAGTGGGGTTTCGGGGTTCATCTATCAATGTCATCACGTTTGATGATTTGTATATTTTCCCCTCCCCTCCCCTCTGCATATGCATAAATGACGTCACTTATTTGACAATTTTTCTCTTTCTCCTCCTCCTCCCCACTGTCACACATCGTCACACAAAGTCCGAACCCATATTAAAAAGAAGTCACAATTCAGACATGATTTTTTTTTCTTTTGAAAACACCGAAATCGTTTGAGCGAGGGTCTGAAATCACTATCGATACACACGCTCAGGTCAAAGAAACAGGCGAACTCTCCTCCACCTGCCCAGTGTCCAGCTAAGTCCAAAGAGGAAATTTTATCATTGACGTCTAAAAGGAAATCACACCTCAGCTTACAAGTGTTTTAAAATGATTAATAAAATATTAAAGCTAACGACAAACTAATAATGTTGATTTAGAATCAGTCGCGTGTATTTTTTTTTTTATTCCTGTACATTCTCTATGGAGAAGAATTAAAACAAATAAAAATGAACATTAACATGATGTGTTTATAGATCTAGAATCTAGATAGAGCTAAATCTACATCCTAGAGCTGGCGAAAATGGCTTAAATCTAGTTTATCCGTAGCTGAAGATAAATGCCTTGTATTTTAGAATAGTTGTAAAGCTACAAGCTATGATTTATATGAAATATTTAAGGACAAAAATAACTTAATAAGGAAACTCAATTATTTATTAGGTTTTTATACTTTTTTTAAATTTCTATTTCTATTTTATTTTGTTTTGGCCTATCGGTAGATCTAAATACATGTATTGCATATTCAAATTAGACGAACTGCCAAGCATATCCTATTGACAATTGATAATAGTGCTGGACCCTAAAAAAATATTAGCAAACAGACGGATCTTCTAAAATATAGCCGACAGAAAGTTTAGCTTTATAGTGCATTAAACTTTTGAATTGACAACATGTTATTAAATGGAATCAGTAATGTTTTTTTATAAAAATAAGTAAATAAAGTATTTGTTTTGAACTTTAAAAATTAAAGGGGTGTTTCTACTAATAAAAACATAAATAAATTAATTATCGTCTTTAAATAAATTTGTAAATAACATTAAGGGAAAATGAACATTATTCCGTACATAAATACGTATTTTTCAGGTCTACACATAATACAGATGCTCTGATCTAACTCAACAGACCAAAAAATATATACATACAAACTTCTCTTTTTTAGTAGTTTATAGATAGATTATGTTAAACCTACCATAGTTGAACCTGGGTTTGTTACAAATTCTACTTGAAGGTTTGTTTCAGGACTGACGTAGCCTATTTTATAACAATATGGTCCAAACCACTTTCCATCTTGATATCTGCACACAAAATAGACATCACTAAAATCACCATAAAACCTCGGGGTAAATTGGACCATTACTCCTGCTCTCTCAGGTGGGCATCGAATGTTAAATGTAAACCTGTGAGCAATTAGTGTACTGTCAATTAAACAGATTAGTAATCTTAATAAATAATTATTGTATTAAACTTATATATATATATATATATATATATATATATATATATATATATATATATATATATATATATGTGTGTGTGTGTGTCTGTCTGTGTGTCTGTGGGTGTCTGTGTGTGCGTGTGTGCTATTTTAAATACGCTGTTTAAATAGTATACGTGGTGTGAATAACAGATTTGTGTGTATCATAAACACTTTTTGCATTTATTTAATTTTTTTTTAAATTTTAAATCAAATCTGATTCGTAAGTTTCCAATTTTTTGTTTAATTTTAATTGCAGAAATATGATTTTTTACAAAAAATCTTATGCCTATTTTTATACATAAATGTCAAACCATTTTACAAGAGAAAAATGTGTACATTGGAATGTGTTTTTTTAAAGTGTAAATCAATTTATGTTTGTCGAATCGTGTAAAATAGTTAATCCTTGGTTTTTTTTTTTTAAACAAGTAACAAATTACCATAATTTCAACACAATCATAAACCTAAACATAAAATGATGTTTTAATAAATAAATGTTTAATAATTAAACAATGATATGTATATTTTAAAATATATTGTTTTACTCAATAGTATTTGCATATCTGTAACAATCGATGATAACTTTTTCGCCGCCCGTACGTCTTTCAATTTTTACTGGACTTTCCTTCAACAAAATAGATTTTTTTTAACATTTTAATTTGAGAAAGTATATTAAAAATTGTTCAAGTTACATTGCAATTAAAAAAGAAAAATTCGTAAAGGTTTAAGTGAATTAGTATAGTAGCCTAAATCACAGTCATATATACTTTTAGCTTTACTGATGTTAATAAAACCTATGTTAAAAAAAAAGAAATAATATAATGCTATTAAAATTTAACTTCGCACAAAACAAATTAGTAATTATTACATATATATTCACTTACGGGTAAAACATCCTGTAATAAAATAATATTTATTTTTATTTTTAGACAACTGCAAACTCTATTTAACAACACACCAAGGACAGAAAATATAGATACAAAAAGTAATACTTAATATATTTCGATTTTATTTGGTTTATACATTCTTTTCAAAGAACGTAAAACAGCGGAGAAAAATCTATTTGCACTTTATTCAAAATTTTACTTTAATATGATACACTTGACATCAAACAAATGTAGGGCAATAAAATTTGTAACATGGCACAGGAACGTAATTTTCTCCATCACATGAAATTGTAGACAACTTACTGAGAATAGAATCCAGTGCACCACAATGTTGCCAAAGACATTAACGTAATTGATACTGTCAATGGGCAATTGGTTTGGGTAAGTGACAAATAAATTTTTGTCCAGAATTATCTGAAAAAATACTGTATTTATATATATATATATATATATATATATATATATATATATATATATATATATATATATATATATATATATATATATATATATTTCTGGTGGTTGTAGCACGCCCCTTGAGTATGTGTAAAATTTGTGAAAATTGGTGGCCGTCTCGGTGTTGGGGCGGATATTTCTTCAGAGCTGTATCACTTTGGTGTGAATATGGATATTCACGAAAATTATACTAGGGTAAAAAAAAGATGAGCCAACAATGTCAAGAACGTCCGCTCAGATTTCAATTCTCCACCAGACCCGAGGAATAATCTGAACTGTCGCCTAACAACACGTTTCCACGGACGTCAGCGCATAAGCTCCCCACTCGCGACTGCACTTTCCCAGCTATATCAGCGAAGACAAAGTGGCCACACCAATGACGGATAAACGGAAGTGCGAATGCTACTGGCGGCTTTTATTATAAAAGCCAAATGATCTCAGGACAAATATATATGATGAGAGAGTTGTGAATGGTATTTTAGGGTACTGAATGGGTATGAGTGTGCATTTAATATAGTGTTGACTAATAATGTGTATAATTTGGTTGTAATTTTTCTAATTGGTATTAGTAGTCTATGTTATTTTAAACAAGTATAAACATAGATCGTACATTAAACAAAACCCTTTCTTTTCGTTTTTTTTCAAAATCTTAACAATGTTTTATTTCAATTATCCTGATCAATAAAATATTTCTTTTTTCTAATATTCCGATAGTGACTTTTTTTAAAAGCTGAACTACAATTCATTGTATCTCTCACTTTCCGTATATATATACAGTTTCTTCAGGCATCCCTACCGTTTTTTTTTTCATTTCATAAAAAAAATAGAAATACCAGAATCCGCTACCCCCTATCCCCCCCCCCCATACCCCACACGCTCCCACGAACAGTTTTAAATGCCCTACCCCGAGATAAATATCTAAAAGAAAAACCGGGTAGCCTTTATATAAAGAGAAGAGAGCAAACAGTCACCGGAATTGCCCTTGTAACGGGTACCGATGGCTAATTTATAATGATATATATTTCTGCGTTCATTATCCTTTAACCCCCGTCAACATCAGACACTCATAACAGAAAGAGAAAAATGGATACCTTAAATTCGGAGTCGTAAATTGCTAAATCTATCTTAAATTGTTGTCCATTCTTTAAAGGTAGACCTGTTTTATCTTCTTTCAGTCTTCTTCTTTCGCCACCCAATGTGTTGTAACTGACCAGTTTATTGCCTTTTAAATTAAAGTGAAGCTCGAGAGGCATAATTACATTACACGAAGGTGTGTTGCAAATCCTAACGGTGAAGCTGTTAGGATAGATAAACCGAACTTTGAAAAAGTTAAAAAAAAAATGTCTTGATTCAAGTGTTACATACTTTTGTTAGTAAATATATTTTAGCTATAAAAAATTATAATAATAATTAATTAAGATTACATAATCAAAACATTGTATAACTAAGTAAAGTTTACAATTATTTTTATATTATTAGAATTATAAACAAGTTTGGGTTATTTACTTCAAGCCAGTTAGGGCTGTGATATAATCTATTTGCTTTAGTAACAATCAATAGTAGAAAAATCTCATACTAAATAAAAAATTTCAAAAGTTAAAAAAAAAAATTATAGGCCATATGTAGTGTTGCATAGATCTAACAATAATAATTCACGTTAATTAACCTATATGCGCGCTTTAAAAAAAAGACTTGCAAGACCATTATATTATTAATTAAAATCTCAAAGACCTTATACTATTACAAAGGTTAAAATTTTTCCACAAACTCTGTAGCATTTTCTAGGATAGCTCCTTCGATTGTTATCTCTTTTCCTGAGTACATTCGAAAACGAATTTCTCCAAAATATGGTAAAGTATACTGAAATAAAAGTTATGGGAAGACTTAAAAATATATAGCTACAATTATTATTTACTATAGCGATAACAAAATGATTATTTCTTATCATTGCAACAATAAAACAAAATCTAGGAAGAACGACATTATTTTTTTATTTTTATTTTATACTAATTTTTAATTTGAATTTATCATATTAGCAACTTATACATGTTTTTGCACATATTATTTTTTGCATTTTAAAACCTTTTATTTGACTTGCATCCTCTGCCTGCCTTCAGGCGTCTCTAGACAGTCTGTCTGTCGTCATAGATTGAAACGGCGAGCGAAATTTCGGACACTTTTAACTGACAGATTTGTTTCAAAGTTGGCACGTGGGCCATGACTTGGAGGCAAATGGAATTTTACTTAAATGTATGACTAAACATGTTTAGGTAGGCTGTTATGTCCGACCTCCGACAGCCGCGGAGGGAGCGGACACCCCAGGTTCGTTTGGTATGGTACCGATAGAAGTCATTGTAATGGAATCCCAACAACTTGCCGTGAACTCGTTAATGTTGTCTAGGGGTAAAACACGACAAATCGAAGAGACTCACACGACTTAAACTATGAATACCTTTTTAATTTATGTACAAGATAATGACACTAGGTAAGATCAAAATGTACAGATTCTATGAGTACAATAAATAACCTCAAAAACTCCAACTTACAGTTTGAGAAAATCACAATATATCACAGCTGTGGCTTAGTATATTAAACACCAATAAATCATTACTACACACAACTGAATGGCATATTAAATACCACAAAAAACCAAGAAGAGACTTATTGCCTCTACAACAATAGAAATCCAAATAAAGGATCTAACTATCACCGAAGTAATCAAAAAGGTGCAATAATACACCAGAACAAAATATTCAGTAAACTACAACTAGTCACATAATTCCTTATACAAAGGTGAAAATCATGTCACATAATGACAATACTGCAAAATGGCGTACATAACCACTGGCACAGCTCTCCTGGTCCAAAGTCAATCTGGCTGCCTTTGAACTTGAGAATCCCGAGATTAAATAGCATTCAATAATAGGGGAAATAACTCAAGTCTTACAACTATTGGTTGAGGATCTGTCAAGGATCCTCACGGTCGCAAGACCATTGGTTGAGGTTCTGCCAGGGATTAAAGATAGAATCACCTGATGTGACAGAGTTCAGTTGACCGGTTTGTACCAGTGAACTGACAATTCTCCCAAGGACAAATACATAACTCAGGAGATTAAATATAAATAAAGCAAAACAGACCTAAGTAGGTCACAAGGCTTATCCAAGTATTCCGCATTATTATACTCGCGTTATCATGTTCATTAGGTGCGTTTTATTTTTAGTCATGCATCTCTAGTAAGAAATTTAAAGTAAGCCTATTAAAAAAATGCATAAAAACGTTTTAATGAAACGCTTTATGAAATAATTCACAAAAACTGGAGAAAACAAATGATTTTCTTTTAATAAATTGCCATAGTCTACTGTTTAAATAACTAAAATAACAAGCATTAGACTCTTCTTAAATATTAGTAAAAGTATCCTATACATATTATACTGACCCACGCTTTTCTTTAAAATTATATACATAGAAGAGTATTATAATATATTTAATGAAAATCATATTTTTTACATATATGCATGTTTTAAATAATTTTTTTGTATAAATTTCTAGTTTGTAGTTATTTTAGTTAATATCAAACCTTTTATTTATTTCATTTTTTAAAAAAATACCGTGTAATTGATATGGAAATAATATGTTATCAGAAAAAGTTACGATATTACATGAAACTATTAACGAGGTTTATTGAAGTAAGTAATAAATTTTATACAAGATATATTATCGTATTACTTTTTTTTTGCAGGTAGTGGCTTGAGTTTAGATTTGTACCAGTGTAAGTCAGATTTGCAATTATCTATTTTACACTTCAAACTTGATGCAGTAAATTTCAAAATGGTCAGTACGGTGTTTGTAAATTAGAGAAATATAAGTGAAAGTCTTGTAACATAAGAGAAGTTCATCTTGACCTAGAGTGCCCCATGCATCCTCGTTAGCACTATGGCGCATACGATGTTCGTATATATATATATATATATATATATATATATATATATATATATATATATATATATATATATATATATATATATATATACCATGCAAGACTCACATTTAAAAACGTCAAAAGTTAAAATTTTAACAATCAAGACTTACTCCTTCAGAAGATCTTTTTTGAAAATGTGTGATGGTCATGTCACCGACGCTATTTACAGTTGAGCTTGTGTTGCTATCTGCACCTTCTACGCATGCCCAAGCAATTACTTTTGCCAGAAAATAAATTACCAAAACGTTCTGATTCATGATGGTAACTGCAATACAAATTTCTCGAGTATAATTCAGAACAAACACAATTGCGTTATGTTTTGTTTAAAATTAAAATTACTTTCATAAATTATATTTTTAAAAACTTTAATTTTGCACTTAAACAAATCTGTAATGAAAGTATAACTCAAAACGTAATATTTGCTATATGGAAACTTACTTTACTTTAATGTACATGTGGCGTCTACCAAACTTTTACGTGGCACATACGTGGAAATTTAGTCAAATGATGTAACTTCCAATTAAATTAGCTAGCTATAATCTTTACAAGAAGTAATTATCATCTAACTTATATTAAATCAGTGGAATATTGATATAACTATTTTGGTTGCAGTTTAAACATCAGTTGACTTAGCGAAATGTATCACCACATATTCTCACTCATAACTGTATTTAAAAATAACCATTTTGTTCGGTATACACACACGAGTTTGATACAAATTAGCATGAACTTTTTTTTTTAAATGACAATTTTGAAAGGCAAATTAAAACAAAAATGCAAGTATCATTACAAAATCAAATATGTGGCATCAATCTAAATTTACCAAACCGCTTTTTCGTCAGGCCAGGGGGCGCCTTCAAACTCCGTTCAGTTTGTCTTTTTGTCTATATCTATCTTTAATCTTTTTCGTCAACTTTAAATGCCCCCCCCAGTCACATTACACCTATTTAACTTATCTACCCGACCGGAAATACTGATATCATGGCATAAATGAATAAACTGTGTAGCTTTATAAAGATATAATAAAAATAAAAATAATAATAATAATAAAAATAATAATAATAATAATAATAATAATAATAATAATAATAATAATAATAATAATAATAATAATAATAATAATCATAATAATAATCATAATCATAATTATAATAATCATAATAATTATACTAATAATAATAGTAATAATAATAATAATAGTAATAATAATCATAATAATCAGAATAATCAGAATAATCATTATAATAATAATAATAATAATAATAATAATAATAATAATAATAATAATAATAGAAATAATAATAATAGTAATAGTAATAATAATAATAATAATAATAATAATAATAATAATAATAATAATAATAATAATAATAATAATAATAATCATAATAATAATAATAATAATAATAAAAATAATAATAATAGTAATAATAATAATAATAATAATAATAATAATAATAATAATAATAATAATAATAATAATAATCATAATAATAATAATAATAATAAAAATAATAATAATAATAATAATAATCATAATAATAATAATAATAATAATAATAATAATAATAATAATAATAATAATAATAGTAGTAATAATAAAAATATTACCAATAATAGTAATAATAATAATAATAATAATAATAATAATAATAATAATAGTAATAGTAATAATAGTAATAATAATAGTAATCATAATAATAATAATCATAATCACAATAATATTAATAATAATAATAATAATAATAATAATAATAATAATAATAATAATAATAATAATAATAATAATAATAGTAATAATAATAATAAAAATATTAACAATAATAGTAATAAAAATAATAATAATAATAATAATAATAATAATAATAATAATAATAATAATAATAATAACACTTGTGTGTAGATTAATTTAGGCTTGGACTTACAAAAAAGATAATTAAATACCTTCTGTTCAGTAACAGCAGTTCGTAGGCCTATGTATGTCGTATTAAATCCGTCCCACTCGTTTCACTCACCTCCCCCTCCTCTATATTTCCGCTGACTTTGGCCAAATTGCAGTACGATCAAACAGGAGGTTTGTGTCAATACTGTTATGTTTTAACACAATAAGTAATCACGAATGTCCAGTATTGAACGGCTATTAAAGTTAAAACATTGTGTTATATCCTTGTGTTAAAATTACATGAAAAGTAATACAATCTCACGAAGAATACATAACTGTCATAAGCAATGTTTCCGTTATTTTTTGCATGAAAAATATAACGTAGATTCAGTGGATGTGGATACTGTGGGATAAACCTGGTAAGCACTATGAACAGTCGAACATTGTTTCACACGAGCCCAGGATTCTGACTTGATACCTCTGGGATAGCAATCATAAGCTCTACCACACGGCCATACAACCAATAAGACAAAAACAAAGATTGTTATAATTCATATAAAAATGAAATAAAAAAAAAGATTAACGAATGCGGGAAGTTTAAATAACAATTTTCCAGTAACTCTATGCCTACCCGTATGCTTCTTAATACTTCTATTACTATTACTATTGATATTCTTTATCATTATTCCTTTTCTAATTTTAATGTCTTTATTATTACCCCTATCAGTTAATCTAGTCTGTATCTCTTGCCTATCTTTAATCCTACCCTTATACACAGTAGCGTAGCGAGGGGGGGGGGGGGGGCAGGGGGGACACATATGTCCCCGGGCGCCGACCTTAGGGGGCGCCAAAATGGGTTGGAAAAATAAATTGAAAGGTTGTTGGGGGGGGTGCAAATTGAAAGTTTGAGGGGGAGGGGTGCAAATCGAAATCTTGAGAGAGGGGGGGTGCAAATAGAAAAGTGTGTCCCCGGACGCCGGGAAGGGTCGCTACGCCCCCCTTTGCTTATACATACCATTTTCCAAATAACAAACCCTGAAATAAAAAAAAAATCAATACGACCAGTATTTATGAGCCCGCATGTTAGTCAGACATGGTTAAAACTCAGTCAAGTGGCGGTGTTTGTGATGTGTAGACGAAACATGAGTATCTGGGATACCGCTTGAGTTAGATCTGGATTAGAGGATTGGGTTAGCTGGTGTAACCAAAGTAAGGCTTAAGGAACACAAAGCAATGCAGTTTCAAGTATGAAACTGGTATATAGGGGGATATCACGCACTTGAGTAAAGGGGGTCTCAAACTGTTGTGATCATGTCATTGTTGTGTCTGGGATATGGTGTGTATTAACTGGCTTTACAACATAACTGTTGTAAATGGGCTTTAGTGTATTGAATGAGTTCGAGAGTATGTGTGTGGTTGAACGGGTTTAATAATGATGTTGATGGTTTGAGAGTATGAGTGTAGTGTGATTAATAAAAGACTCTGAATGCGTGAAAAAGAAAATAAGCATGTGACGTAGGAGCAGTGGCGTAGCGAGGTCGGGTGTCACTCGGTGCGGCACTTAATGGTGTCACCCCCCAGAGGCGTAGCGACCCTTCCCGTGGACAAACTTTCAAGTTTTCGATTTGCACCCCCCCCCCCTCAAGTTTTTCTCTATATATTTTGCTATTTTTTGCCTTGGTGTCACCCCCCTAAATGGTGTCACCAGGTGCGGTCCGCACCCCCGCCCCCCCCCCCCCCTCGCTACGCCTCTGCGTAGGAGAGTATGTTTTGGTTGTTAGGAAGATAGTTGAAGTCAGTCTGAGTCTTGTCGTCGTCATGTGAGGATGTCTAGAAGTCGTCGTCAATGTAGCTGTATGTATTGTATATAATAAAAAATGAAATATCGTATCGTCGTTCTGTATACTCTATTGAATCGTCGTCCTATATTGTTCAACGTCCAGCATCGACCCTGTCCAAGAGCTCGCATTATAACAATAACCCCCTTTAATTATCCCACCTTCAGGTCAAGTATAATTACATTTTAGCTCACTTACGCTTAGAACATAACCCAAGTGTAATTATCCCCCCCCCTGACCCAGTTGATCTCTTGTATTGTAAGAGTGTTGTTTTGAGATAGGACTATCTTGTGTATGGTAAGAGTGGTCTTTTGAGAGAGACTGGTCTGCTGAGGGAGACTGGTATCTTAAAAGATAAAACTAATCGTTTGTTGGTAATTCAAACTGGAATATTTTTATGGCTATAGAAATGAAATTATTTTGTTGCTTGAGGGCTTGATGTTGCCAGTTAAGTTTACTCAGCTTCCTCGCTCTAATGTATGGTACTATCTGTAAATACAATTTCAGATCATGTGATTTGATAATTTCAATGTTGATCTGAAATCTAAACATTTAACACTTATCACTTTAGCATGCTAACTACTAAGCCCAATTTATAATGTGGTAATCTTTCAAGCATGCATTTTATTTATTAAACGGAATAGTCATCTCAATTTTCAGTGGCGTCGCTAGGTAACTGATGGTGTCACTCCCCCTTTTTTATTCTCTATAAATTTTACACGTGTTATCCCCCCCCTACCCAAGTAAAAGGTTTAAAAGGTTCACATTTAATACTAACGCTGTTTATGTATAGTCGATTATTAATACAGCTTGATGTAGCATTGTTTTGTCTATAATTTACATGTTTACATCATTGGCAATTTTTTCCCAGCATTATATATGGGGCGGAGTGGTCTAGCGGTAGAGAGCTCTAATCCGGGTTCAAGTCCCTGAGTCCACCCAACTCTGATGGGTACCTAACTCACGTTAGGGAAAGTAAAAGCGGCTGGGCATAGTGCTGACCACACTATCTCTTCATATGCCGAGGTCACAGAAACAAGTGAACTCTACTTCACTTGCCCCATAGACCGTCAGGTTTGAAAGGGAAACTTAATAAATATTCATCACTCTAAACAAACAAAAATATACACACAATGCATCCAAAAACAATCAACGCAACACAATCTGTTTTGTAATCCACGTAAAAAACAATTTGACATAATGATTCCTAGAAAATAAATTAATTAAAAGGGAACTAGGGGAAATAATCACTCTTTTAATATAACTTTATATATTTCTACAAATTTAAACAGATTAATAATTACTTTAGTATGTAATTCAGTAGCTTAACACTATTTGTTTTTACAAAAATATGTTGTCTAAAATCAGAATGAAATATATTGTCATCATAAATGCTAAAATATTACAGCATTATGAAACGTGTTTAAATCAGAGTTCGTATAAAATCAAACTTTTCTATCTGATAGCAAAACTAATTTTTATAAGTGGAACATTCTGAATAATAGCTTACATATAACTAAATTATTGGTCTTGCAAGTTCCGAACATTCGTTTTTTTTAATTAGCTACTGTTTTTGTGTACAAATGATATGGTATTGGTTAGATCACTGTATAGATCATACACCTCTTTACTCGTAATTGAAAAAAACAATATTTACTGAGTTTTGTCTGTTTCAAAAGTTATGATTCTGGCGGCATGGTACTTTGGTACATCATCACGCGTTTTCCCAAATGTTCTTAACAGATCAGTTCGGGATGGGTTGGGGGTCGGGGTGGAGGTTCAACTTCATTTACCACTATCCAGCCACTTTAGGTGAATTATCCTACCCAGCGTATACATAGGTGTGACAATTGTGGTGGTGAGGTGGGGGGCGGGGGGAATAACCAACTCAGAGTGAACATAGCGTCAGTTTTTAGATGACTGTTCTAAATATACATGTACAAATATACATATACGAGCCGACCCGCGGTGTATCATACGCCGCTATTTAGTTGTTGTTGTGTTTTCTACTTTTCAGTAATTCATAATTTGTGAATTCGACAGTACCAATGCTGCCACTGAAAATATTTGCTTTAAAACACTAAACCCCCCCCTTCCCCCCACGTGAAAGCAGCATCCTCTTAGTTACCTCCTCTAAGTTTAAAATCGTTTCAAACTAAATTATCTGCTCCTAATAGCCGTCACTAAACCCGGCTCTACGATTTGTAAACATTTAAAAATAGCGTGACCACAACTCACCAGACCATGTGGGGGTGGGGTGGGGGTGGTAGTGTTAGTGATAGAGAGAAAGAGAGGGGACTGTAAGTAGGCGCTTGCAGCTTGTTTTCTAACGGCTCCCAGAAGAGAATTATATATATAGATACTGATTCAAAATAGATTTCAACAAGTAACAGTGGTATTCATAATCAGCGTTCATTTGTGGCCCATGGGAAGCAACGGGCTGCAACTACACATATCCTCGGTTTTTGGGCTGCTCCCTTAATCTGTGCGCAAGTGAACCCAGCGGTCTCAGCCTCTTCCTCTATCGTTTTTTTCCATGTTTTCTTTGGCCGGCCCACTTTCCTTTTTCCCTGGGGATTCTTGTCCATAGCATGTTTTAAAATATGTTCTTTTTCTCTTCTTAACGTGTGTCCGATCCATCTCCATTTACGGGCCTTGATATCCTTATCTATTGGCTGTTGTTTTGAAATTTGTTACATGTCTTTGATATTTTGTCTGGCCATCTTATTTTAAGTAGGCCCTATATGTCGTTAGCATGTGTTTGTCTAACGACTGTAGCCTATCTTTATTAGATACATTTTATTTCCTCGTCTGCTCCCCCGTTCTTATTGACCACAGATATGTGAATGTGTTTGTTTCTCGTAAATCTTCTCGACTTAGCTGTATGGGCAGGTCCTGGCTGTTATGATTTTGATGACCTCTGTTTTATTATTTTATTTTTATGGTATTATGAAGGTAATTGTTTTTTTACAGATGGATCCTTGGGTCCTAACCCCGCCCCCCTTTCCTGCCTACGCCACTGAAAAGTGTACTTACAAATATAGCGATATTCGTATCGCGCCGAGATTTTTAGCGCTAGAAATAATAGGCGATTTGTTTAAATGATTATATCTCGATAATCATACAACAGATTTCTAGAATATTTTCAGGGGAATCAAATTGGCTTATGATTTATGTAAGAAAAATTGATTTTTTTGAGATAGACGGTTTGTGATTGATATATATATGTATCATAATATATAATAGACCATGTGCGCACTTCTCTCTTACTCTCTCTCTCTGTCTGCCCGCAAAATATATTCGCCGGATATCACGTCAAAATCGGCAGCGATATATGGATACCTTTATACGGACTTTTGTTGAAAATAATATGTTAGATGTTTTAAATGTATAGCCACAATTTTATTTAAAGAAGAAAAATAAAAAATAAAGGCGTATTCGAATGTAGAGAAACAGTTTTAATTATGCAACAGGAAAAGCGTTTATAGTTGTAAAAAGAATGCATAAAACAGTGACGTCACTAATGTTTATACATTAACTAATGACGTCATTTGCCGTGTTTTGGAATATAAAGAAATGAACTATTTCATTCAAATTTGATTTAGATCTACGTACGCTATAAAATTTATACAATACAATTTTGCTCGGGCTAAACAAAGAAAAAAATGCTATTAGGATTCTAGATCTAGAGATTCTAGATCTAGATCTAGATGATCTAGATCTACGGAAAAAACTAGACTTACACAGATATAGACCCTACCTAAATATAGAATCTGTTCAAATAATACATTTCAATACTAAAGTATTTCAGGCCTTACTTACTTTATTGAAATATTTGTTTATCTATGCAATTTGCTAATCTCTATAATATATAAAGCAAAGTTATCGGGTGCCCGACAGGGCACTTTCCGGCGCCGCAGGAGCTTCAAATTTGGCAGGATCTTGCCTTGGGCGACAGAACACGGGGCCGGTTGGCCGAAAAGTCTACGATGAGAAGGTCAAAACTGACCTCGACTGACCGGCGCCTTATATGAGCTATAAATCGAAAAATAAATGTCCACGTAGGAACCTCTTCATAACTCCTGAGGTCGTAGACCGACCCTCGGGCGAATTAACTCTTTATCTACTGACGGTACTTATAAGTACCACTTTAATTAAGTGCCTGTATTTTTTTTATTTAATACTAATTTTAAAAATTATTGATGTATTTCATAGTATTGTCTCCCCTGAGTCGCCGGTAGTCGGAGGTATCAATGTTTTTTTTTTAATTAATGGTGTGGCGCTTTTTCAATGTCTTGCTATATCGGTAGTTCTCAATTTTTCTGTACATTTCTCACACACGTTCCTGATTTCCCTTTGTTTTACCTTATTTTTCAAGTTTTCAACCCCAAATATTTTTATAGGCACCTTCAATAGTCAGGCAAACGCGTTTAACTTCTAAATATACAATTTTCATCAAATTGTCTTTGTATTAGATCGATGTTTACAAGTGGACTTATAAGTACCGTCAGGGCACACGGTCATGTTTTTTTAGGATTTTTCGAAAATGGCAGATTTGATAGTTGGAGTTACATAAATATTGTCTTGATAATTAATTATCGAAATGTACTCAAAAAAGGATATTTACACATTTATAAGAAGATTAGCATATGGTTTACCTAAGAAATATTGTAATTACATGTTAATTTCTAGTAGTAAAATATTACAAGAATAAAGGTATCAGTTGCAGGCTCGTTTACAAGGTTTAGTATACTTCATTTGTATACCAAAGCCTAGTTCTAGTTGTAAGATTTAATTTGTTAGTTATATTTATTGCAATAAACTGTCTTGCCTACAACAACTAGCATTTACATAATGTATACCTGTAGATTAGTAATAGTCCATACTTCTGCATATAGTATAGATCTATAAGGTAAATTTTAATCAGTAAACAGAAAAGAGTAATCCACTACGGCTATCCTAAACACATTGAGCTCACTCCTATTTATGAACTTTGCACTGTAGTGTAGACTTGTCATAACATTCTAGTAGGCTACAATTATACTAGTATTACTAGTAGTTGTGTGCTGAATGACTAGGCTTTTGTTTGTTTATGCGGCTCATTGTACTAGTTATTGGAAGCTTCCAGCAAAAGCATATTCATTCCGGCAACCGTTGCTACACCAGAAAGACCACAGACAAGATTGAGGGAGCATGACATGTCGACTACTTTTGTTGTGTTTGAGGTCTAAGATGTGTTCCGATAGAAAATCCAGTAAAAATCGTACTCAAAATATACGTTTGTGCTGTATTTATGTGTGAAAATTACAAAAAATGAGTGTTATAATGATTGCCATGTTATTAGTTAATAAATTGTATCGTTTGTTCCTGTTTTGTAAAAAAAAAATTTTGAAAAAAAATGTCCTAGATTACTGACGGTACTTATAAGTAACAATATGTGTTTGGGCCATTAAAAATTTATGAAACGAAATTTCCTTCGACATATGCTTTGAATGTGCCAAAAGCAATATAGTAACACATTGTTTAAGTAAAAATCTCATTCAGAACATAATTCCGTAAATAAAGTTAATTAAGCATTCAAATTCTCAATGTTTTCGAAAGCCTAAGCGAAGCTGGGCAGCATGCCTAGTTTATATATATATATATATATATATATATATATATATATATATATATATATATATATATATATATATATATATATATATATATATATGTTTGTGTCAATGTTTTAACACATTAAGTAACTATGAAAGTCCATTATTGAACGGCTACGAAAATTATAACATGTCTGGGTCAATCGTTGATGTATTGTTACACGAAAAGTAACACAATGAAACAAAAAATTCTTAGCCTTTCATCATAATCAATGTTTCCTTTTTTGCCTGAGAATAAAACATACATTCAGTAGAGGTTATGCAGGGGGATAAATGCCAGATTTTTTTTTAAACAATGCTTTGATAATTAAGCTCACAAAATAACTCTTTTCATGGAAACAAATGTATATTATGTATAGACAATAGAATAAAGTGCAAATCAAATTTCAACGCAATTGATGTAGTAGTCACAACCCTTACTTGCATTTCTAAAATGAAAAGCTTGTGCAAGTGTATTTTGTCTCAATATTCCGGCTGTAGTGAGTTATCGAAATGAATTAGTACAAGATTAATAACTACGGGAGGTCACCCACGCTTTATTTTTTTTTTCAGGAATACCCAGCATCAGTTGTCTTTCATCAAAATCGAGAGATTTCTTATATTGATAATTAAACAGAATTGGCAATGATTTTACGCGAGAAACTATATTGATACGTTTAACGCATGATTAATTATAGTAATAACTATAGACTTTAATTAGTACGAGCCGTCTCGTCCAGGTCCTGCTCTGGCCTTTGAGACAAACGCATCTGCAGAGGTTTCTGACTTGTGTTTAAGGTTTATTGTAGTTTTAACAATTAAATTTAACAATTTAAACAGGAAATCTTTAAAAATTGAAACACATCACGAAAAACCATAACACAATCAGTGTTTCTTCCAGCCTTTTTTCTCCGTAGGGGCACTTGATAATTTCTGGAGGGGCGGGCTAAATTTTCCAGGATGGTGGACACTTGTAAAAGTATAAGTTTTCTATATACATTTAATTTCGTTCGCGGGGAAGGGAGCGGTAGACTTTCTTCGGGGAGGGGAGGGGGCTTCAGATGCTTGGTCAAAAATCTGAACACAATAACACATTTAAAATTAAATAGTAGGTTGAACAATGAATATTTGTTTGGTTTTTTTTTGTATTGATAAACATTAAAATCCTAAAATGAAAACAAATAAATTTTGTACAAATAAATAAAGTACAAATAAATACTACATCCTCACAAAACGAAAAAAAAAAGATTAAAACAGCAATGTCTTAAAATGTATATGCTTTGCCATGATTTTAAAGTGGTCTTTCTCTGAATGTATTACTATGTAAACCTGCAAACACTGTCTCTGGCCTATGGCTGGAAGGTGTAAAGCACTAAGAGCAAATGACCTCATCAAGAAAGCAAATTGTTTTCAACTACCTTAACTATAATTAACCTTTAACAATTGTGCAATTTGGCACCTTAACCAAAAAAACGAATTGTTTCGTGATTCATTTGGATTTTTGCATTTAATACTAGTAAAAATTATTCAATATTCAATCAGATAATATCCTTATGTTTATTGTAAATACCTTCAAGTGTTATAACTGGGGACTATGTAACCAGCAGTTATGCAGTGAGAGTTATTATACTATCATTCAATTCCTCTCTAACCAATTCTGTATTTACACTAGAGTTTGAATAAGTACGACGACATCATTATTTAAGTTCATTATTTATAGCACCATAATAATACATATTACGATTTGGACGGACGATATTGAGACTTGACTACAAACATGATCTCACCCTAAGACAACAAGAACAAGACTTCTTTAAGCTTCTTCCCCGGCAACAACGATCCTACACCTAAACGTCACATTCACGTGTACCGAGTTACACTTTCACTCGTTCAATTTACGCCCGCACCAACATTCATTCGCACCTATTTGCATGATCTAACACAGATCAAAGCATCGAGAAACACATTTTTTTTGCTGAAATTAAGTAATAAACACAAAATCAATTGATTCAGAACTTTATGACAAACTATCATATACAATTTTAAAAACAAGGTTAATAAATTTAATTTTTAAATAAATTTGATTTTTAAAATTGAAATTCAAAAGAGTATCGACAATTGTCCTTACCAATTAAAAAAAAAGTTGAAATTGCACCTGGTCAATTAGTAATCAAAAATTGGATTACATCAAATAGGCAATAATACATTTTTCAATATAAGATTGTTTTTGTAATTATGTTTACTATTTAAATAAAATGTGTACAATTATTTTTAGTATTTCTACAAGTAATACTATTACATAAAATACAATGCATCATATGTGCAAGTGTAAAGATCTGTTGTCGGTTTATGTCATCAATATTTTCTCCACTCTCACGTCTCCATGAACATCCAAATGATCATAGCAGTCCATTTTGTGATCCAACCTCTTTTCGAATTTTGAGTTTATTTTAATCTGAAGAAATTCGTTTTCAAATCGTTATCATTTTTTCTTTTTAAATAATTTTTTCTACACGTTTTTATTAAGAAACTTTTATAGATCGAACCTACCTAACCTGGCATTTCAGTTGATAACTCACAGAAATTTAGTTTTATCATTACGAACTTAAAATAAACCAGGATTAATCTATCATAATCTTTCTCGAATATTCTTATATAACAATAATGAGCACGGCATTTTCTGCGCAACAGGGCTTTAGAATTTTTTAAAAATTCATTTTTATGATACATTGCTAGAACAGTGGAAAAAATTTGTACACAAATTGAACGCACATGTATGAATTCGTGTTCACAGACACACAGAAAAAAGACTCGCTGACTGACAGACACACCGGCATAAGGAAAAACTTGCAAAACTAAATTTTTCTGACTCAGTGAGGTGTAAAAAATCGTATCTTATGAAAATACCGACTTCGATTTATGTAGGATTACTCTAAATTTGTATACGAGAGATTAAAATTAGGTTACACTTTTTGGTAATGCGGCTTAGAAATATCGAATTACAACAAAGAAATAAATGATCTAACTAACATAAGATCACAGAACAAAATATAACATGACAAAAATCTAAGGGCAAAATATATATAGTAGGTCTGATAATATTGTAAAATTGACATTTTTCAATTGGTTTTCATTTCTTTTACCTTTGACACTCATAAGATGCAACTATTTTAAGACCATATTTCAGAAACGTTGAGATAACGCCAGTAAGTTTGAAAAATGAACGAAAGCCCATCCCCTATTCTTCTGTTTGATAGTCAACCATCGCCCTGTTTATAATCGCGTTACATCATTTTGTGTTAGGGTTGAACGGGTACATTAGACTTTACACCGTACTGAAAACGACACATGTGTTAATGTGTAAGCATTATGTTGCGTGTAGGGTTTACAAACAATCATGTAAATACGAAATGGATCGCTGATAAGCATTAACGTAATACTTGATCCTAACTACACGGAAATGTTATTCACGGTTGAATGATCATTTGTAATTCACGGCTCTTTTATCCCTCACGCATCATTAATATCAATGGGGGGAAGGGGGCGGAGTCTCTAGCGCCAAGCACTGAACACAGGAAAACTTAAGAAGTGATAGACATTGTAAAGAAGTGAGAAGACCAGCTAACAAACAGAACTTAATCTAGTCAGTTAATAGTTGTTCTTCGAATAGTACTTGGAGAATACAATATTTAATGTATAATTATAATAGTCATTAATCCTGTATACATCATTTCTGTTTATATAAAAAAAATTCTGAAACTTAAAACTAAAATCAATATTTATTTTATTATTCCAATGAATCTTCCACATTAAACAAGATGTCTTTTATTGTTTCCTGTAAGAGGAACCGTACAGTGCCATTTCCAACATTCTTTTCAAGTTTTCTCAACTATGTAATTTTACGCAAAAATCAAATCGCTAATGCTCAGGAAACCTTTGTCGTAACAGACTGAAACTTTTAAATGCATTCACCTTTTTATTCCAATCTTCAAAACTTTGTAAGTTAAGTTTACTGCAATGCTCTAAGAAATATTGATATTTATATAGCACAACCCCTAATTTTTGTTCTTAGTTCTACGAAAAATGTGTATTAAAAATAAATAAATGCTATCACAATGTCAAAACGTATAAATGTATAGATTATTTTGAGAAATTTGTAAATATGTTGTCAGATATAAAAAATCGCTTTTGAGAACAGTTATAGAGTTTTGAAAATGTGTTAGTTTTCACACCTCGTGGTTTCCATGGCCACAAGAACTGCTATTAGTGGCTATATACTTTTTTGTCTGAAGGTTAACAAATATTAACATATGGATTTATTAATCACGATGAAACTTGTTAAATAAAAATATTTGTTTTATCTGTGGTATCTAAATTAAAAAAAATAAAAATGGTAAAATTACCAAAGTTGAACCTGGACTTGTTAAAAACTGAACGATAAACTGCTCTCTAATTTTGAAGTCGAAATAGTCATAGTTAGCATAGATAGTCCATTCTCCTTTTTGCATATAGTCAATAACAGTTTCTCTAGTGGTAAACCTTGGGTTTAGGTGGGCGACAATATTTTTACTTCCATCTTGTACGCATTTAATGTTAAATGAAAATCTGAAAAAAAGTTTACTATAACTATAAGATGAACATCGTTTTAACTTCGAAGTCAAAATAGTCATTTCTAACATAGTTAACCCATTTTCCGTTTTGATAATGGTCAATGACAGTTTGTCTAATATCAACCCCGTGAATAAATCTTGAGTCTAGGTGGAAAACATTATTTCCACTACCATCCTCCATGCATTTAATGTTAATGCTAAACCTGAAAAAATAGTTTACTTTAAACAAACAAATCAAACAAATCTTTATCATATAAATGGCAATAATTTGAAATTATAGTTATTGACAATTTAAAAAGTACTCTCTATTTTATTTTATTATAACTATACATTACTTGTTGATTAAAATTTCAAAAAAAAGTTTTAAATGTGAAACATTTTCGTCCAACATACTTTTCATAATCTTTGGTTTTGCATTTTTTGTAATCCTCAGATTTTAAATAAATCACATGCCCAATGCTAGGAAAAGTATAAAATGTAAATACTTGAGGGATTTAATTAAAAAATATTTACTACTGAACCAAAAGGTTAATTATGTATTTATACAAACCCGTAATTATCGTTAGTTGGATATCCATAGATTACAATTTTTTCACCGCCATGGCGTCTTTCAATTTTTTCCATACTGGCCTTAAATTTAGAAAAAAAAATTGTTTTTTTTAAAAACTTAATACTGATTATTTTAAATGTATACATTCTGTGAGTTACTTCGCAAATTCTTTTTTCAAAGCATATTGAAATTGTTATAAAAATTGTTTTTCTTATATTAAAATGAGAATCATTCATCTATGCTAAAACTAAAATTAAATTCTAAAATATGGATTGCGTAGGCCTACACACTTACGGGGTTCATTTTCTGAAAAAAAAATGTTTTTTAATAACATTAATCATAGTTAATAACAAAACAAACAAAAATAGATATATTTATGAGCTTTACAAAATAATTATAAATTATATTTAATACTAGCTTGCCCGTCCCCGCGCGGATAGAAAAAACTCTGACGAAATATATAAGAAGAGTTTCACTAATCTTACATTCTTAGACGTGTAATTTTTTTTTTTCTAAAACTGAGTTATTTAAATATAAACAATGCCTGAGCTTGGACCATATTTATCGGTGCACCCCTACAAATTTGAATTTTTTTTTACGAATACACCTCTCTAGGAGTATTCTAAGCTTTTTCGCTAAGTTTCACGGTGCTCCGATGAAAGTTGTAGTAGTGCATAAAAGACACAGCGTGTGTTAAAGAGTATATAAAAAATAAAAAATATATTTAATTCCTGGATATAATACATTGCTAATGCTTGTGTACGTTGTGTGTTGTAGTAAATGACATAAATAAAATATAAAACGTATTTGCGACAGGGCAAGTCAATTTTTTTTCATCATATTGCACATTGAAAACTTACTGAGAATAGAATCCAGTTAACCTCTGCTTGCCCGTCGACCTGCACGTACATAATAACTTCCAAAGGCATTTCATTTTTGAAAGAGTCAGTCAATTTTCCGTCAACCCAAACCTGAGACATGATATGTTAGAAACACAAAAAAAAACACAACACAAACACAGCACAAACACAACACAAACACAACACAAACACAACACAAACACAACACAAACACAACACAAACACAACACAAAAAAAACACAAACACAACACAAACACAACACAAACACAACACAAACACAACACAAACACAACACAAACACAACACAAACACAACACAAACACAACACAAACACAACACAAACACAACACAAACACAACACAAACACAACACAAACACAACACAAACACAACACAAACACAACACAAACACAACACACACACAACACAAACACAAACACAACACAATCCGGGACAGCTAGTATTGTACCAAATGGTATATCTTCTTGCAATTAGATGCAGGTATCTAAAAAAGAGCTTTCTAGTGCGACCGACCAAAACGAATTCCTCTTCGTGCGCAAAAAAAAAAACAGACAAAAAAGAATGCGCAAAAAAACCCACAAATAATAACATGTTGAAATTTAAATTTCCGTTCTCTAATAAAAATGTCTTTTTTATGTCAAATGTCATTGAGTAAAAAAAGAATCAGTGTATGAAATAAATAAAAGGCAGTATTAAAAATACAAACAACATTGCATTTAATAATTCTCCGCTAATCATTTAATTACTTTTTTTCCTAACACTAAAACAAAGTAATAAAAAGTAAATTCTCCCCCCCCCCACCCCCATGGAATGTTTTTTAAGGAGAAGTAACTGTGGTTTCCTAATTAGGGGACGTAATGAGCGCCAAAGGAATAAATGCAAATAATATAAACGTTGATACATTTTTATTTAATTCAATGTAATATTCATATTGAAAATTATTATTCTAAGTCTGCAAAACGAAAACTGTTTTTAAAGACTTTCAATATTAATTTTTTAACTCATAAATTTAGACGATGAGTACTTTAGACATTTAACACTTGACACAATGGAAGAATCGGGTTTTTTTTTATTCCTATGTAATCTACGACAAACATAAAAACATACAGAATTGAACCTTATATATATTATATTATATATATATATATATATATATATCTCAGGACAAATTATCTCAAGGACAAAAGATATCAGGACAAAATATGTTAGGACAAATGATATCATGGACAAATGATCTCAGACAAAATATCACAGACAAAATATCTTAGAGCAAAATTTTAATAGGATGTACGATGATTTTAGTTGATTTAAACTTTTTTTTATAGACTGTCAATATGGTTTTGTCCATAGTATCATTTGTACCGATACATTTTGTCCTGGTATCTTTTGTCCGTGGGATCATTTTTACCTTGAGATCTTTTGTCCTGAGATCATTTGTCTTGAGATCATTTGTCCGTGAGATATTTTTTCTGAGACCATATGTCCGCAGATCATTTGTCCTGTCACCATATATATATATATATATATATATATATATATATATATATATATATATATATATATATATATATATATATATATATATATATATGCGTGTAATTACCGTAAAAAGTTCATTTGTAATTTTTAAATCGATTCTAAATTGCTGTCCATGTTTGAAAGGTAAGTTTCCTGTATTTTCTATTCCTTCAGTGGGGAAATCATAATAGGATGACATCACCCGCTTGTTTTCAACGAAGTCAATTAACATTATGAAAGGCAAGTTGTAGTCACACATATCAGAATTGCAGAGTTTCACTGAGAAGCTGTGGTATATACAAAATTTAATTAAATTCAAATTGTACTTTACTTCTCCTTCATAATAATTACTGTTCTTTTTTTTTCTTTAGGCTGGAATTTATTTGCAATCGATATTCATTGACATTAAAAAACTGAAACGCACCAACTTTATAGATTTTTTTCCTCTAAAAAAAAGACGTGTAATGCTGAGTTAATCTTTATTTATATTTAATTTATAAAGATAATCTGCGCTTATGTGTCGGGCGGACGGACATGCTTGTATGACATGCTTTTAGTTAAAAAAACCAACTTCATCGACATTTATTGATTAAAAACATATTTTTTGATTAATGTCAAACTACTATTTCATTTTACAACATTATTTTTCATTGACCTATGGTGCAAAGAACAAAGCTAAACTAAAAATATTACCTTTGCAAAATGTTCTATTTTGTTTCAAAAACGTATGCAAATTAGATCATTTTTTATCAGTTACATAAAAAATTAATAGAAATAAATACATAAATAAATTGCTTTTTTAGTTTGTTTTGATGTTGTCGTCTGTGCTTTTGTTTGTGTTTGATTTTTTTCGCTTATGTGTTTGCGTTAGTTTTTGTGTTTGCGTTTGTGTTTGCATTTCCGTATGCGTTTGTATTTATGTTTGCGTTAATTTCCCATCGTGTTTGAATTGTTTTTTTTAAATTGTATTTTTGTTTGCGTTTCTTCTTTGCTGTTTTTTTTTTATCCTTTTTGTGTTTATGCTTTGTGTTGTATTTAATTTGTGTCTGGGTTTGTGTTTGTGTTTCAGTGCGTGTTTACGATTATGTTTGCGTTTGCGTTAATTTTTGCGTTTCGTTTTCTTTTCGTTTGTTTTTTCACTGAGTTTGAGTTTGATTGTGTGTTTTAGTTTTGGTTGATTGTGTTTAGTGTATTTCCTAAAACAGAGCGATGCTGCGTATATGATGCTTAATAAACAGACAAGTCACGGTCTTTTGTAGATACATTATTAGCCAGTACATGACCTTTCAAGGAAGGCTAGTTCAACATAATTGCTAAAAAAGAAAAGAGTTATAAATTTCGATTCAATTCGTAAAAATATTTTTCAACTAACTATGAAGCTTGGTTTTGGATAACTCCTTCAATAACTATCTCTTTTCCTGAATACATTGGAAACTTAATTGCTCCAACATAAGGTAATGGATACTGTAAAAAAATAATCTTAATATATATATATATATATATATATATATATATATATATATATATATATATATATATATATATTATCACAATGGCCTCAGATTTTAAAAAATTGCAATTCTTAACTGTGTAAATATTTCACAAAGTAAAAAACACATCTAATTTAGCAAAACTTTATATTATCGAGGTTAGATAAAAGTGAATTATTTGAAAAAAAAAAACGTTTTTGTAGAAAAAATCTTTCATCAGAAATGGAAATAAGAGAAAGAAGAAATTTCTGTCACTGAAAGTAAATACACATTTGAAAGAATCAATAGAATAGACTTGTTTACCTATTTCTTTATAAATTCGCACACCTAGCTGAAACGGTACTCAATTTATAATTATTTTAGAATACATAATAAAAAGTACAGTCTTCAAAAGTGAATAGAGTAAAATACACTTTCGGCTAGCGGAAATCGTTTACAATTTGGTAAAAATTTTATTAAAATTAATTAAAATGTAATTACTTTAATTTTACTTCGAATTTCGTCAACTTGAACAAACGATACAAAATTTCTTGGCTTTTTGAATCGATGATATTAATTTAGAATATTTCCTGTTACCGGAAAACATTCAAAAGATAATACAGAAAATAAATATAGAGCTACAAATTAAATATAATACCCATAGATGACATTTTGTTAACATAACTGACACGTTTATCAAGTTATCTTGTTTTCATAAAGACAAAGAGACACTAAGCACTCGGATTGGCATTCAGGCCGACAGACTAAATTAAAACACTACGTTTTTTCGAGAAAATCTCGATTGCGATATTTCACACTTCTACTCTTCTTCCTCTATTATTTGTATGCGAGAAAGTAAAATAGGTAATAAGTAATATATATATATATATATATATATATATATATATATATATATATATATATATATATATATATATATATATATATATATATATGTGTGTGTGTGTGTGTGTGTGTATCCAAATTACATGTGAACCTAATATAGAAGAGTTTAAGATTTAATAAATAATATATAATTATAACGACAGGCAAGATTTACTCCCTCAGATGATCTGCTTTGAAGATTAGTGCTGGTCTCGTCATCTCTGCCATCCACACACGACAAGCAATTTAAAGTAGTCAGATAAGAAACCAACAACACTTGTAGTTTCATTGTCGTTACACGACGCCCTAAATCATAAAAACACTTAAGTAGAGCTTCTCAGAAAAAGTGTTTAAACAAAAATTTAAGTCTTTGTCACAAGCCTTTTGTGTGACTGGGTTCACGATATAAACTTGTCACAGGCCTTTCTCCTACCTTTTATATATCACACATACGAACTCAAAAGACAAGCCTTCTTTTACAGTTTCCATATTTATTTCGTTTTCACACAGGCCGCATGTTCAACCAAGCTACGCCATCTTCTTGCCTCCTTTTTCTCCTTGTTCCCCTCTTCCTTACGCGCATGCGCACAGCCACCGTCTCCCTGATGCAATCTCACACACACACTCCCAAGATACGATCCACCAATATTTCACTGTTATAGTCTTCTTGCCCAGTAGTAACAAAAATAACATTCAACGAAAGTCATACGGCAAATAAATGCAGATGATTGGGGCATGTAATTAAAATTGTATTCAAATTGGAAATTTATTCCAATCCGGATAACAAAACCGAAAATAGAACTTTAACCGTAACCGCAATTCTTAACAGAATATGATCGCTAACCTTCACTTAAACTGTTTCGGGAAACTTCTTTTAAAACAAATACTGAAATGTAATCGGAAATGAAAATTTAGCCAGTATATAAAATGTAATTGAAGACGAAATTTTTATCTAAAACGGAACTTTATATGGGGACGGAAATTTAACCGGAAACTAAATTTTAAACAGTTACCGGACCCAACTCGTTAACACTTACGAAATTTAAGATGAAACGGAACCTACCCTAAAACTAGATTCTTATCTGTATTACAAAACGTAAATGTTGATAAATTAAACCTGTATTTTAATAGGAATCAGACATCTAATTGCAAACGTAAGTTAATGGAGAAACGGAATATTAAGCCTAAACAAATTTTAATCGAAACTAAAACTTCTTAACCGGTATTTTAACTGGATCCACAAATTTAATACGGAGACGGACATATAATCAAAATAGGAGCAAAATAGCAACTAAATTAAACGCAAACTGATTTTTTTTTTAAATATGAGACAAATAAGTTAGGACTTTGTGGTTGTTGCTCAATTATTAATAACGTAATTAGAATTATGTATTATTCTTAACATTTACATTTTTATTCTATTTTTTTAAAATTCTGCAATCAATTATTTCTTTCATTTAAACCGTTTATTTACTTTGTTTCGTTTTAAATATTGTCTAATTCCTTTAATATGACGTCGTTGTATTTGCCGTGATAGTTGTTTGTTTCTCTCGAAAGTTCTGTTGAAAAATGATTGCTCAGGTTGCATAAATTAAAGGTGTGTTTCCACGTAGGAATATGACTTTAATTTTAATTCCATTGTTAAATACTTTGTAGATGACCCATTTTGTATTATCATTTTTTTTCTCAACGAAAGTTCGAATCTTTAAGTTCTACACAAGTTGCTAAAGATGCTGATCTAATAGTTTAGGAAAAATGTTGAGAGAGATAGAGAAAGAGAGTGAGAGAGATATGTTCTTACATGAGCTTTAATTTAATAATATATTCTATAATACGCTTAACTTACCTATCCGTACCAAGAACACTTATCTTCTGATGCAACGAATATTTTGTATTTGGAGTTGTTGAGCACTGTTTGTAATAAATATTGGATGGAAATGTATATGTGGCGTTTACAAGACTCTGCGTGGCCTATACGTGGCAAGTGAAGTGGCTTCGGGTTAGGCTTGGCTGCTAATTGTTTGCCAGGTGTTACCACTGATTTAAATTGACTTACATTAATTACTTACATAATTGAATATGTTATGACGTTTTATGGACGTGTCAAAATATAATGGTTGCACACATTTTTCAATTAGTTCCACAATTTGATTTCTGTTTAAATAAACAGACAAATTACATAACTTTGAAATCATAAGCATGTTTTAAAAATGTCAGATCAGACAAATTTCTAGCATAACTTCTGAAAATCTCATTTTCTGTATTTTATAATTTATTATCCAATTCCATACTTAAATAAACAAAGTATTATGTAAAATAATTACGGTCTGAAATAGTTTAGTATAGATTTGAAATAAATATAAACTTTCGAAAACGTGTGTGGTTTCTGTCCTTAATAGGTGAAAAACAAAATACCTTTTGATTGAGAGGTTATGAGCAATAAAAAAAATTGAGGATAATAACTTGATTTTGAAAATTGTAATATAAAAAAATACCGACAAATTTACTTAACAAGTAAAAAATTAAAAAAAAAAGTTTAAACAGCATCTGTTCAATTAGTGAATAAACACAGACCTCAGTAATTAAATTATCAGCGAGATCAATAATCTTGTTCATGTAAAAAATTATTTAAATTAAACCATTAACTTTATACCAGACATTTTCAACAATATTTGTATAGTTATTAATATTTTTTATCACTGTTAATTACACATATATTAATACGATTCATTTTTTCAATTATGTTTACTATTTAAATAAAATGTGTGAAATTATTTTTAATTTTTTTTTTACTATTAATACAATGTGAGCAACGAAGAACTAATTATATGAACATTTCAGTGTACACAATGTGTGTGTATGTGTGTGTGTGCGTATCATACGCCGCTATTTATTTGTTTTATTTTCTACTTTTCAGTAATTCATAATTTGTGAATTCGAGAGTACCAATGCTGCCACTTAAAATATTTGATTTAAAACTGTAGGTCGTAAAGGACGATACCCCCCCCCTCCTTTCCCCCAAGCCCTACCATACCCCCTATTGAAAGCAGCCTCCTCTTAGTTTTCTCCCCTTAGTTTAAAATCGTTTAAAACTAAATTATCTGTCCCCAATAGCCGTCACTAAATCCGGCTCTACAATTATAAACATTTAGCGTGAACCACAGCTCACCAGACCATGTGCGGGTGGGGGTAGTAGGCGCACTTACAGCTTGGTATTTTCTATGGTATCCATATATATATATATATATATATATATATATATATATATATATATATATATATATATATATATATATATATATATATATATATATATATAAAATCCACTTCCTTGTAGTATTTAATTACTTTGATACCGAAAACAATACCATTACAGAAAACAAAATGAAACGTATATGCAATTATAAGTGTCTGTTATTTGTTAATGTTATCATTACGTTTTCGAATCTACTAACTTGCTCTACTAACAGCTCGCTATCCCACGTTGTCCCCTTTAATTATTTAGACAGATTAATAATATTATATCACTAATTAAAAATATTTAAAAAATAATTTTACATCGTATTTCATAAAGACTTAAAAATGATTTGGACTACGTCTTGAACTAAAAAGAAAAAAAACGTATAGTGCCTAGGACTATATATACTTATATATAAATATATATAAATATATATATATATATATATATATATATATATATATATATATATATATATATATATATATATATATATATATATATATATATATATATATATATATATATATATATATATATATATATATATATATATATATATATATATATTATATATATATATATATATATATTGTCATAAATATATTTATGTCAATGAAACAATTCCGTGAAAAAATATATTAAATATATATATATAAAATATATATATATATATATATATAAATTTTATTTCACCCACATAACACAACTTTTAATAGAAATAGAAAGTAGCCCATTAAACATATGAAAAGAGGTTCCTCCGGGCATTTCTTCTCAAAGAAAGTCTACCGCCCCCTCCACCGCCGAGTGAAATGGAATTTATATAGAAAATATATACTTTTAACAGTGATCCCCCCCCCCCCCCCCCCCCACCGAAAATTACATTCCCCCCCCCCCCTCTTAGACAAAAGTCTAGAAGAAACACTGCAAATTAAAAATCATCTATATATATAATTCTCTTCTGGGAGACGCTAGAAAACAAGCTGTAAGCGCGATCCCTACCACCCCCACCCCTACATGGTCTGGTGAGCTGTGGTTCACGCTAAATGTTTACATGCAGAGCCGGGTTAAGTGACGACTATTAGGGGCAGATAATTTAGTTTGAAACTATTTTAAACGTAGGGGAGAAAACTAAGAGAGTTTACTTTAACTGAGGGGGGGGGGGAAGGAGAGGAGTGGTTATCGTCCTTAACCAGCTACTTATAGTGTTTTAAAGAAAAATTTTGCGTATTGATATAAGGCTAACTAACATAAGAATAATCAAATCTACAGCTACAGTTTATATCAGCCACCATCCTCTATTTACGTACATGCCATCAGTTACATACACACTCTTACGCAATCGTATTTGGTAATATAAAAAATTGCTTGATAGAATGATGTGTAGATTAGTAAAATTGTCAAAGTGGCTTCATCTTAATCCAAAGTACTTTTTTGTCGAATGGCGTATGTATGTATATTTGCGTAAACATATACATTTGCGTTTGCGTATGCATCGGCATCGGCAAAGACACGGACACGCACACGGACACGCACACGCGCACGCGCACACACATGCACACACACACACACAAACACACAAACACACAAACACACACACAAACACACAAACACACAAACACACACACGTACACGTACACGTACACGTACACGTACACGTACACGTACACGTACACGTACACGTACAGGTACACGTACACGTACACGTACACGTACACGTACACGTACACGTACACGTACACGTACACGTACACGTACACGTACACGTACACGTACACGTACACGTACACGTACACGTAAACGTACACGTACACACGTACACACGTACACACGTACACACGTACACACGTACACACGTACACACGTACACATACACATATTTATATACATAGACGTAGGTCTATATTAGGAAACAAAACAATACCCGCTCTATGATTCATATTTAGTATACTAGAGTAAACAAGGACGGTTAGTGAGAACCCATTTAATGGGGAACGGTGAAGATTTTTATCGAATTATATAGAACCAGATAACAAACCCGAAAGTTCTGATACTAGACTCTATTCAAACAAGCTATGACAAGTACTTGACTTAATATAATAAAATAACGGCGGCAGAGTTTACAGATAAAAACACGATACTTTCATCTCAAGAGTTTAAAATGTCTCCTACATTTTATCAATTAATTAGAAAATAATCGTATAATCAAACAAAGAATTCAAAAATACGTAAGTTATCTGCGTATAATGTATAGGAAAAACTAGTTTTGAAAAAGTTATTAAAAATTTAACGCAGCGAAAGTTTTTTTTTTATATTATCGAGTTTAGATCTATGTGAATTTTGCATACAAATCTTTCCTGTTGAAGTAATCTGTTTTCAGAAAAAAAGAAGAAACGCAGAAAGTAATACTTTCGTTCGTCTGGAATCACGCACACATTTGAAAGAATGAATAGTAAAGGATTGTTTACCTATGTTGAAAATGTGTAACGCCAACGTAAGCGGTATGAGTTATTGGTACTTTAGAAACAGATCAAAGTACGAGTTCCGTTTATCAGAGGAAAACAAAAATTGAAAGTAATCCGGGTGAGGTTGGGTGAGGTTGGACTAAATTTTTTGGAAGGGGGCGGACACTGGTAAAAATATGTTTTTATAAAAATTATATTTCCTTGAATAGGACGGTAGACGTCCTTTAGGGTGTGTGTGGGGAGGGGGGGGGGGGGTTGCGCAGGGCAGAACCCCCCTCCCCCTTAAGGCGACTTATGTCGTGTTTGAAATTAGATGCAAGGTTTAGGGATATGACTTTCACTATGTTTAGTATCAATATGCAGTAACTCGCGTAGATCAAACTTAATTCCGGTAAAAATGTCGATTCTGGTCGGAAATCTGTTTCCAATTACATTTTTCGTTTACGGTTAAATTTGAAGTTGAGGTGGTGATAGTTTGTTTTTGGTTTTTTTTTTAAAGAGAAAGACAACACTATCAACCTAGTGCCAATTGTATCCTTCCTAAACGGGCTATTTATCTCGTAGACTAAAATACACTAAACTTACCTATCCGCACCCAGAATTCTCAAGTTATGAAGCAGGCAACATTTTTATTTTCAAGTTGCTAAGTACTGTTTGTAATAACTGCTGGGCCGATATCTAGATGTGGCGTCTACTTTACTGCGTGGCCTATACGTGGCAAGTGACGTGGCTCCTGGAAAGGCTTAGCTGCTAATTGTTTGCCAGATGTCACCTTAGATCTTAGGGGTGGCAGTGCCCCCCCCCCCCCCGAAAAAACGTGTACCGTTCCCCCCCCCCCCCTCTTAATGAAATATAATTTATATAGAAATATACACAAAATCACACTCGAGGTCCAAGTTTGCTGTCAAATTGTTCTTCACGTATTTCAATCTTGAAAATATTTGTTCACACAGGTTACTTGTTCCAAAATTTGAAAGTTACTTTGATGCAAAAGTTTTAATATTAGGAAAATCTTCCTTTTGCAAAAACTTATAAAAACCCACTCGACCTTCTTTGAACGTGTCTCTTGTGACCTCCAGCTGCAGTTCACCTTTGCAACTGGCCACATTTGCTTCTGATGTTCTGAAACAGTCTCACTATTTTTCTGTCTTTGAATCCAAGTAAAAAAACCGCTACTGAAACTGCAGCTTGAAGTCTTTGATGATCTCGTATGCAAATGACGTGGAGAACTCAGTGGTTGCTTCAGCCTAAAGACCTTGCACTACTGAGA